ATTTGTTTCAAACAACTAACTTGAGCTTATGGAAATGTTTGAGCTCCCACAAAACGAGTCAAGTCTAGGGGCAGTAGATGCGAAAATCATTTTTTACATTGACTGGCTTCGAAAAATGCACAAAAAGGGTGATTCTAAAGGAGAGAATTGAACTTACTAGTAGTTTTCAGAAATTAGCAATGCTTTCCTCAGCCCACTTTGTGTATAGTGTTATTTGGTGACTGCAAACCCACTAAATACAAAAAACTCCATGTAAAACTAATAATCGAGAAAAACAACCGATGAGAAGGGTGCGGTCCACCGTTGAGCAGCGCTGTCCCACGCGACCAAAAAACCGTGGCTCACCGTTGAGCCGCGCTGTCGTCAAAGGGTTAAAGCAACCGCAGCAGTTAATTACGGCAGCAACAAAGCTTCCACTACTCCCTAAGCGCCGAGATTGTGGGAGCGAGAGGGTCCCCTGTACCACCCAGGGGGGAGGGGGAGGGCGCTGAGTGTTCCTAAAGGAAGAACTCATTAACCTTTTTTATCGTGAACCGTGCCTCTAAGCTTTCCTAACACCTAGATGCGAAATGACCTTGATTAGGTGCGAAGACTATGCGGTAATTATGCTGCCCGCACATCGTTACTAATCGCGTTAAAACTTTTCAACTAAAGAGAATAATGACGGTAAAAAGAGTGGAGTTTCTATAAAGGAAATGAGTTTTTTTTGAAGGGAAAGTTCCAACATCCAATCAAACGGTTTAAGAATTTTATTTTGATGCATAATGAGTAGATTCAATGTGTTTCTATTTGAAGTTCCTCGAAAATGGAGAAAAACCAATCCAGTTCATTTTTTCGCTCATTTGCGGTATCAAACAACCTTTACAGAAGCGTTGTAGTTCTCTACAGTTGTTTAACACGTTGACGACAATGTCCGTCAATGCTGACCGACAGCCAGTCTGTCTCGTGAGACGATCTCGGTCAGTGGTGACCGGCAGTATTGTAAGTCAGCCGAATGAAGAAAATTCTAGGTTTTTTTGATTTCAAATTTTACATTAATTTATTGACTCACTAACTTTAGCGTCGACCCGTGATCCTTCTGAATCTAAGGTATTTATGAAAATATTAAGAATCGAGTGAGGAGTCATACATCATATCAGATCACAGTTAAAAAGCTAATGTAATTGGAATCATTTACCAAATTCAACAATTATGGGCACTTTGAAAGCCTTCAAGGCAAGAAAACTGATCGCACTTATCGCACTTTGTTTTGGTTATCATTGCAGTATTTCTAGCCTCTGTTCTGCCATGGGTCCTTGATATGAGGCTGTTGCATTCTTTACGGAGTCTTTTATCCTTCGAGTTCATTCGAGGATTAGAAACAAGCTTTCTTCTGGATGGCGATGGCCTGTTCGTAGGAGCTGGTGCAGTGATGTCTTAAATGAGAGCATCGACAATTAATTTCTGGAAGAAGTTGATCTTGCATTTTTTACCTTCTCTCAACAGAGGAATCAAGCATTAACCAAAGCCGTTTGGGTGATCAGATGATAAAACAGTCTTACGTACCATTTGCTCTTCCTTCTCAGATAAGGCGTGTAAGCTGCTATCTGGTCACTGAGATCCACAAACCCTTTCATCATGTTGTAGTCGGCAATGACAACTGGCCGTCAGGCTGGCAACTTGCATCGTGTTTGGTAGAAAGCATAAGGATGATTCTTCGATCTCTCCACTTCAGAATCTCCCGGCGTAGACCTTTACCTTCAGCGTGTAATCTGCTCTGGAACACAACTTGAACAGCTTGATCCCAAACCTGTGCCTCTTGGCTCCACTATACCGCCAGAAGGAAACGCGCCCGCGAAACGGCACTATAGACTCATCCATGCACAACTCCTTCTCCGGTTTATTTATCCTCTGGAACTTAGCGTTCAAGAGGTCCAAAATATGTTGAATGTTGTACAAAATGTTACTCCTGTCTGCATCGCTGTTATCAGCAAAATGGAGGTTTTGTTGAAGCTGTTCAAATCGACCTCTCACCATAATGTCACCGGCTATGGAATGTCCATTTCTCGCTAAATTGCTGGGCTTCAGTGACCAGTGGTTCCTCTGGTTGTCCAAGGGACACCGCGACATTTGTAAGCAGTGACCGAAAAATCTTTTGAGTTCCTTAATGTCTGTCTCTTTCCACGATTGACTTTTCTGATGGCCATATATGTATATTCTTTTGTGTCGCTACCATCTCAAGCAGTTCCTCGGACAAGAACAGCTCGTAAAAGTCGAGAGGAGTTTTACAGTATTCCACATCTTTATGTACTTTTGTTGGCTCGTTGAAAAGCCATCTATCATTGCAGAATGCATCGTCAGTCCAGGCATTATCTTCCGTGTCACAGTCGCTATCATATTCGTCGGTGTCATTTGTATCAAAGTCTTCTTCGTCCCGCACAGCTGCAGGAACAAATCCATAGCGTCGCTTTCGAGCAGTAAGTCGTCAAAACATCTGTTCAGCACCCCAGCATCATCGGTCATAGAGCCCATGATCAGTATTGGGACTCCAGAAGTACCCGGGATAATTGTTATTGACGACCAGTTTGAACTCATTCCAACAATTGGCGCCTTACCTCTAACGTTGTTCCCGCCAAACGTTTAAATAGTGCCTCCTATGAACGTTCACTATTCAATGCTTCATACACCGAAATGATCTACAAAGCCCCATGATTTTGAATGTGCACCCAATTCTTAGCCGAATACAAGTTTTTCTTTGGATTCCAGGAGTTTTTACTTGTTTCACACAAATAAAAGTTATTACTTATGAATACAGTAAACCAATTATGGCGGTCCAGCGTGACGATGTCGGTCAATTATGACCGACGACGATTAGCCAGAGTTTTCAAACGGTTTCGTCCCGTGAGCACGCAAACGAAAAACGCTCTCGTCGTTAACGTGTTAATACTGGGGCTGCTGTCATTGAACGCCCTTTGGCTCGTCATTCAGGCCATTTTACAGTTTTTAAAAGGGTCTAAATTATGGAGCACGGCCTGCCCTTATACGCCTGAACGAAGTAAGGATTTCGGAATTTGAAACGAGATCCTCACTCAACTGATAAGAAGGGAAAATCATTGAGGATTCCTTTTTAAAATTCCGGAAGAGTCAGAACTTCGTCCAGGAAGCACCTTCCTTTTATTTGGACCGCAAGTAACTATTTCACATTTTCCCTGATTCGATGATATTCAACAAGAGGAGCAAGTTGTCTTAATGCAAGAATCTTGCATAAGGATGTCCAGTTTCGTAACGAACCAAACTCTCTGAACTTTATACTCATAATTTCTAGGTTCTGTTTTAGTTTTTCCTATTACCCAGAAAATTAAACCGATTCTTCCCACACTACATTTGATTAGAAAGGTACTAGTATCTTGTATTTACTATATAAGAAATAATTTTTAAAGAAGCCGTACTTTTGTTTCTGTCATTGTTCTCGTTACTTGACAAGTTTTGACTCGGATAGTAACAATCTGCGGACAGCTAATTACCACGGACTCTTCGCAATTAAGTGACAATTAAAGTCACTTCGCGCCAAGATGTGATGAAAGCTTAATTAGGTTCGACCGCACAATTATTCCCACACCCCGTCATTAGTTTGACCGCTGGCTAACAGTAGTTAAGAGAAGGGGATTTTACGGTGTAGTTACGATTTCGACAGCACCGTAGTAAAAAAGTTGTCAGTGACAGAAATAAGCGCGTATGTAACTGCAGGAATGGAACACAGCAATGTAGTGTTGTTCTTTATAACCTTTAAGATGAGAGAACTTATTGCTCTTAACGTCGTTTGAGCTAGGATCTGGACTCACGCTTGACCCATATCGTTCAGAATTTAGGTAGAAACTTCTTGTGGCGAGGAGGGACTGTGAGGGGTCCTTGACGTAGCCGATTTCATACTCGACCTCAATAAGGGATTCATTCAAACATCGATTCTATCTTTCTTCTTAGGACAAAGACATCCGCGCATGTTTTATGTTATTCTTTTCTGAACTGCTCTACGGTTACCGCTCGTGCCTTGAACTTGTGCGACTCCATCGCCATCCTCTTATTGTGTTCCATAAGACCGCCTTCATGGGTATGAGGTGAGCTGTTACGGCTCATACTGATTCGTACTTGACTCTCAATATTTCATATTATAGGAACCTGAAGTCTTCTCTCTTTCACGATCTTCTTGGAAGCCAAATGTTCCAGGTTTTTGTCGCTACGCGAGGCTTGCCGTTTCGAGAGTGTGATATTTTTGACGAGTTAAGCTTCAAATAATCTCATTCGTACGTAATGGTTTTGCACAGACGAGTTGCGCCTATTAGTTTCCTAACACATTGTGTCCGATGTTAGGTTTAGCTCATTCGCGGCGCAGCTCTTATGGGCGGTCGGCTCCACGCAACCTTCCTGCTGTTGGAGTGCAGATACATCAATAGCCACCTATGCGCCTCCCACACAATACAGCTTCTGCGTCGAGCAACTCGTCCAACCTCCTTTCCTTTCGATTCACTACTAAACTACTAACCACTTGCCTAATAGCATTTGCTCCGCACCTATGTGTCAGTTTACTTTGGTTTAACTTGAACTCTTAAGTCGAAGCCTTCATGCATCTTTTGTGCCTTCATTAGGTGAGTCAAAAGTAAAGAACTTCTCAAAAGCACATCAATAGGATAACAGAATTTAAAAAACTTTTTATGAACTAAAGTTGTTGTACTTGTGAAACATTTGCTGTCATTTGCAAGGGTTATCAGTTGCCTAACCTTTTGTAAGATCAATTGCCACTGACATGTGTCTTCAGTTCACTAAAATGATGAAGGTCGCACGTTTGTAGTTTGGGCGAGCGCCACGGTTTAATCCTAGTTTTGATGTTTTCTTCAAAATATTGCCGCGAAATTCGAGCTGCGTGAAATTTGGCATCATCATGACGAAGGGGTAAATGGTCTCGTAAGTGTGTACTCATCCAACTGTTGATTTTATCCCTGAGAAACTGATACACTATAGATGTGGGGATTTTTTTCTTTTTTTTTTTTAAGTAGAATCGCCAGAACCTCCCGCCTGAAAGTTCTGCAGTGTCCATCAGTCTCTCGTGGCGGATGCCTCATCACTCGGCTATCAGCTGATTGTGTATGGGTCCTAAAACGAATGGGTGCATTGTCTCGACACTGTAACGAAACGACGCAAGCAACGACAAGTAATTATGGCCGGTCCTTAACCAGGAGTCAGCAAAACAAAACTCTTTATTGCGAACGACACAAATAAAAAAACAAATCAATTTAGAAAAAGACGGCGTGGCGCCGCAACGCAACGAAGGGATTCTGTAATGATAGTGACGACGGCTTATGTATACCTATTTCCCGCGCAATCAGGATCGAATCAATTGCATACAAGGGCCTATCGCCTACATCTCCCCCTCCCCCAGGGTGCAGAGTCTTCGGCTTCCTAATAAGATCTTCTACCACGATACATTTGCCGCCCTCTGAGAGATTTTCGCTTGACGGTCATGCTTTGGTGTGGACATGAGCAATCGTGAGGATGTGGGAATGTGTGGTTGACACTTCGATACGGATGTGCCTGGCATTCCTGTCTGGAACGATTTTCTCGCTTGGCCTTGAAGTAGTTTCGTACACATTGGTTTCGATGTATCGAGGTCCTAACGAAACGGGGAAGATTGATTTCTTGCTTTACATGCTCCCTTAAAACCTGCAAGTATTCAATCACTGTTTCTGCTGAATAAGCGTCAGCATTAGAGTGCCTTGGATGTGCTGACGGTCCATGTGAAGATTCGCATGTGCTTTCTATCATCGGTATCAGGCTGACAATATTTCGCGACATGAGCGCAACCGACTTCCAAGTTCAGCGGCCTGGTTCACCTTCATCCTATTCTGTGCATATGCTGCGTCTCCACGGGGTGGTGCGATCGACAAAATCTTCATTTCATTACGAGCCGCTGTTGCTATTGCCCATGCCAGTTTACACCATTCCTTTTTTTGGCGGCGAAAAAGCACATGTAGGACCGACGAGTATACACGCATTCGCACCTGCCGTGTCCAACCACATGATTACATCGTATCGACTTCTCGGAATCCGTCGGGCAGCAGCAGCAGTGTTGTTTCCTCTTTTTGCCTTGCAGCGAATACGCCATCCACGAGTTCACCTTTGCGAACCGTACCCCCTCGTTGTTCATCTCATTCAGTTGTCCGATCGGGAAACCCGTTCCGCCGTCATGAGGCAGACTAAGAAGAGAGCCGTCGTGCAAAGCAAGACTACGAAAAACATGACGGCAGTACTGCTTAAAAAAGTTAATGCTTCCTGCGCTCCCGATATAGTAACACACGGATACTGAGAATCAATCATCAGTAAACGTTTGCGGTCATCATTACGCTCGTTTTCTTAAAACGAAATGAGACGAGCTAGACTGAAAATGGTAACAAAGCTTATTTCTCCAAGAGCTCCGCCAGCTGTCGACATCACATCCTTGGAACGTTTTTCTTCGATTGTGCAACTGTAGTCGCTTGCGCTACCGTCTCGTCAGTACAGTCGTCCAGGGCAGCGAAAAAAAAAGCCGAGTTGCGGATTGTCATCGTTTCCTTCCACAGTCACACTACAAGAAACAGAACTGACTTCCGCTTGCCTACGTGTAACTCTTTTTGTCTTTGTTTCCAGTGGCTTGTACTTTATTTCTGAAGGCAGTACTATGAGCGAGTCAAACAGAACTCTTATCGGTTCATCTTTTCCGTTAATATGCGACAAAAGCGCTGAGTTCTCGCTGATCTCTATCACGCGATATGGGCCACCCCATGGCTCACGCAGTTTTGGGAAGTTCTGTGCGCATGTTTCGTTTGGTAACTTAGGGAAAGCTCTGTCTCCTACTTTTAGGGGTTTCTGTGGGTATGTCTTATGACGCTTATCGTAGGCCTCTTTCATTTTCTGTTTGTATTTCCCATTGAGTTCTGCAGCGCACTCTTGGGCTAACCGAATCCCTGCCAGCAGTTCGTACTTAGAGTCATCAGCGTCGAAGTGATTGAACGCTACACCGTCTTGAGGGATTACATTAGAAGGATAGTGAGGATCCATGGCATGCAGGAGGTAGAACGGACTTTCTTCTGTAGCGTCATGAGGTGAAGAATTGTAAACGAATACTACAATGGGAAGAAGAAGATCCCAATCGGCTGGTATGATAATCTTTTTCCTCAGCATTCTTGTTAATGTGCCAATCACCCTCTCTGTCATTCCGTTTTCTCGGGAAGGTACCCTTTCGTCACTGACTGCTCAGTTCCTGTTATCTTGCATACTTCTGACAGAATGGATTGAATGAACTCGGGACCTTGGTCTGAATGAATACGCTTAGGCCACCTACACCCTTCACAAATCCAGCGCTAAAACAGCGCACGAGCTACTGTTCTTGCTGTCTTATCTGGAACAGCATACGCACCTACGAACTTTGAGAAATGGTCTGTTACTAGTAGGGCGAATTTGTTGCCCTTTCAGTCAGGCCATATTCCACCAAGTCTACTCCAATTAATTCATACGGGCCATTAGTAGTGAAAGGCTTCAATGGTGGTGCTTGCATTTCATGCGCTCTTGACAAAAAAAACATTTCGAGCATTCTTTTGACCATTTTGCAATGTCGGCCTCCATGCCTTTCCAGAATACTACTTTTTTCAGCTTGCGATATAACTTACGCGCGTTGAGATGTCCTGCTGGAGTACCTCCATGTGCTTCATTAAATACTTCCCTTCTCTTGGACTTGGGTACCACTTTAACAGAACAATTTTCAAGTATTATTTTGCGCTCGCCCTTGTCAATTAAGAAATCAGCCGCGCGAAACTTACGCGAGCATCCCGGCAGTTTTACGTCCATGTGGTCATTTCCGTGTTCAATCTCCTTCAGAATCTCCTCATAATCATTGTCTTCTTTGAGTTCATTTAGCCATTCGTTATCTCCTGCTGCCAACTCGCAGATGACTACGCTAGGATTATGGTGCTCGTATATTTTTTCGTCATCTACTGAGCCTGCCACACTGCGAAATAACGCGTCCACCACTACGTTGGCTTTTCCGGCCACAAACTCAATTTTTATTCGATAGTTTTGGATTTCCAAGGCCCATCGCAACACTCTTGCGGATATGTTAATCCTTTTCAGCAAGCATTTTAGTGGCTGGTGATCTGTTCGGATCACTACATTAATCCATAAACAAAAATGGAATTTCCTCGACGCAAATACAAGCGCTAGAGCTTCCAAGTCCGTGATGTGGTAATTCTGTTTGGCTCTAGTAAGGGTTTTTGAGGCGAAGAAGATGGGGTGCAGAAGCTGATCATCGCCCATCTGGCAGAGGATGGCACCCACTTCTTCTTTAGAAGCGTCGGTATATATAATGAACGGTCTTGTTCCGTTTTCAGCGGCAGCCGCGTTTGGCTGTGTTAACACTGGCGCGGAAGTCATAGCTCTTTTCAGGGCTTCAAAACTCGTTGTTTCCTCATTGATCCACTTCCATTTTGTTTTATTACTCGTCAGAGCATATAAACTTCTTACAATTTTGGAAAACCCTGCAATGAACTCCCTGTAATAGGACGACATACCGCCTGTTCCAAGAGGCACACGGAAGTGTCGTGGCTGGACATCTCAACGCGCGAAAACTGTACCGTAAACTTGGGAAACTAGTGTTCTGGGAAGG